GGATCGGTCAGCATCGACTCCGGAAATCCGACCGAATCGGACTGGCCACGCCAGGATGCCCAAAACGGAGGCCGTGCAGGCACCGCACTGGCACCGCACCGTCGGAACATCCGCCGACCCTTCGGCGTGCGTGAGACGCTGTCGTCGTCTGCGTCGTCATCGTCATCGTCGTCGCCAGTTCCAAGGAAATGGAGGAACGAAAAGAGAAAAGAAACGTCGTAGTCAAGTCGATTCCCTCTCCTTGTTCCCCTCCCTGGAGGGTGGAAGGGGGTTCGAGGGGGTAGGGGGGGTCACGGGTCATATGACCGCCTCCCCCCTGGGGTCCCGGCGGGCCCCCATGCCCTTCCCGTTTCCCCGTGGACGCAAAATGGGGTGTCGCCCCTGTGGGAGAAGGGTCTTGGAAAGGGGGGTCCCGCGTCAGATTACCGCGCCCCCGGGGGCTCGCCAGCGGGGGTCCTGGGGGAGGTCCCGCCTGTGGTGTGGGAAGGTGGCGGCCCTGGGAAAAAATGCCGCTCCCTAGGGTTCTGGCGGGTCCCGGGGGTGACGCCAGCGGGGGTCCCAGTAGGTCCCGCCTTCAAGGTCGGCGGCACTGGCCGTAAAGCCTTCACAATCAAAATCGAATCTTTCCGAACTGGCCGAAAACAATATCGAATCGGATCGCCCGGATCGAAGAGGGCCCTGCGAGGGCGTGGATATGGGTAATTAAATCATTCGAAGAAGAAGAATAACCTGCATAAACATAAACTGTCGGAAGTTCGCGCGGATCTCTGAAATCGGAGCTGGTCCCCCCTCCGTGGGGCGGCGCGCGCCAGGGACGGCGCCGAAGTCGCCGCCAGTGGGGCCCATCGCCGATCCAAGACGTCTGCGCGGGCCCCCGATCGTCTATGTTTATGAAGCTTTCCTAGGAGGCCCCCAAGAGACGCCCCAAAGGCCCCCAGAGACCAAAAAGAGGCCCCCAAACGGCCCCCAAGAGGTGTCCAAACTGCCTCCAAAAGGCCCCCGAGAGGCCTCCCGCGAGATCCCAACGAATATCCAATAGGCTTCATACCTACAACCTAGGCACGGTGGTGAGATGGGCCGAAGGCCTTTATGTACGCATATCGCAAATCCACACCCTCGCAGGGTCCATCTTGATCGGGGTGGCCCGATGTGATATCGGCGTTCGTTTTGTGTATTTCGATGTTGCCTGTGCCGTCGTGTCAATCTCGATGTTCGTCGCCCGTGGGTTTTTTGCCGCGCCTCTCTGAGAGAGCCCGCCAAAACCGCCGTGCCAAGACGGAAAATCATGTTCGAAAACAATCCGTCTTTGGAATCAAAGCATCCGCCCCTATTCCGGCACCTCTTGAGGCCACGCCGACGACAGCATAGAAAACTTCGGCGTTTAGATGTATCCTAGAGTCTAGAGCATTCCGGGACACTACAAAGCCTTGCGATGCCGTCACAAGCCATTCAAGCAACTCCAAACCAGGGCGACCATCACCTCACGATGCAATCGGTACTCCTCCGAGACCCGCTGGCGGCTTCTGCCCACCCCGCCCAAAACTGCAAATCAGAAGCTGAACTTCCGCTAGCTCTACGCATCCCTGGACCCCTCCGATGCACTTCCCTCCCACTGAATCTCATGGTTAGAAGAAAAAGAAAACACAACATAAACAGTTTATGCTTATGTGTGTTTTTTTCTTCTTCGAATGGTGCAGCTGCTGCCTGCCCTACCATCAGGCGCCAACGCAGCTGTCTGCCACGCCGCCCTGCACCTCGACCTTCGGTAGCGGCCCCCGCGCGCCCCCCAGCGCCGTCCAGCCAGTGCACGGCGGCGGCTCGCTCGCCGGTGCACGGGCGACGTACACCCCGCCCCCGTCGGGCCCGTCGATCCACCACTGGCCGTCGCTCCTGTTCCAGTAGATGTACGAGCCGTTGGTCGAAGAAGAAAGAACCACGTAACCGTAGATTTTTGGCGCTCCGCGCGGATTTCTCGGATCCGCGCCTGGGCCTCCCTGGCGGCGCCTCCGGCGCCGCCCCTGGCGCGCTCCGCGCGCAAAGGAGGGGGGTCTGGCGCGGATCCAAGAAATCCGCGCGGAGCGCCAAAAGTTTATGTTTATGTGTTTCTGTTATTCTTCGAGTTGGGCGCCTCGAACCAGGGGGTCCTCTGGTCGCTCAGCTGCTTCCACATCCCCTCGACGCCCCAGCCCATCTTGCGGCAGGTGATGGCGAACCCCTCATTGAGCAGGGATCGACCGTCCAGGCATTCCTATAGGCCTACAACAAACTGTTCTCAGACCCCCCAAATGACCCAATTACAAAACAATATTCTTAGGACACAAGCCCGTCGTGTTCAATCAAGACAACCCCAACCAGAAATGATCCAAGAACATTCCGTGCAGACCACAGAAGGTCATTGTAAATCTCTTTGGCGGGCCTATTAGCAAACCAGGACGCTTCGCCACTGCCCATAATTAATCGAATCGAAGTCGGATCGGCAAACCGAACTTGTCGGATCTGCGGACATCGGTAGCCAAGTCAAGAAAACGAACCGGCGGACATCGGCAAGCCAGTGTGCCCCCAGTGAGACATCGGAGCCCAGATCGGAACCCCACGTCGAAGCGACTCGGCATCGGCGACGTCGAACCGGATCGAATCGGAGGAATCGAAGCGAGCCCTGCCTCGGGCACATCCAGCGGGCTGCGCTGCTCGTACTGCCCGTTCACCTCGGCCACTCCGGAGCCCGCGACGCTCAGGGAGAGCCGAGGCCCCTCGGCGTCGGGGGCCCTCGCCTCGCCAGCACGGCCGCCCGGGGCCCGCCTCTCGGCACAAAGGACGGAGGAAGTTGGCGGCGCGCACGAGGGAGCATCGGGGGAGGGGGGGAGGCTCCTGAAAAGGAGGCTGCTTCTCAGAAGGCCTGCGCCGTCTGAGAAGCAAGGGGTGCTTCTCAGAAGCCCTCCCCCCTCCCCCGTGCCCAGACCCCCGACGTCGTGATTTTTTCACAACGTCGACCCCCAGAAATATGGACCCTTCCCCAGGAGTTATTTTCATCCTGAGTCGTTTTCTGTCAGTCCCGAGGCCCGGCAAGCGCCCCCGGAGGCCGAAAATAGCGACAAACCTCCTACCTCCCGTCGCGATTTTCTCACAACGCGAGGGGGTCTGGGTAGCCCCCCTCTGCGCGTGGCCAAGAGGTTATGCCCTGCCCCCCTCTGCGCGTGGCCCGAGGAGGACCCTGAGGGCAACGGGTCTTTGGAGGCCTCCTAGACCAGGTCCGAGGAGACGAGGTCGTAGGATCGCGCCGGATCGATGTCGGCCCCATCTGCCCTGACCACATCTGGGAGGCCTAGAGTCCTGGACTGTTGACAGCCTGTCCCCTGGGACCAGCTCTGTGGGGCCTGCCCCCGGGATCAACTCTTCCTCCCGAGCAGCCGCCTGAAAGTCCCGGGGCCACGGGAGGGCCGCTAGAGGCCCAAGACGGCGAAGCACTCCTGAACCCGCTTCTCTGGAGGCGTCCTCGATGGGGTCCGAGTAGATGGGGTCGAAGAATCGCGGGGCATCGCCAATGCACCGGCGATGTATCAGCGATTCATCGGCGATGTATCGGCGATGCCTCGGCGACGTCGGCATGGGAAACACGGACTCCACATCGAGCCGCATCGCCGATAAATCGGCAATGCGGCGCGATCTTCCGACCCCATTTACTCATCGGTCGGATAAGTAGGGAGGCGTTGAGAGTAGAGTGGGTGTCCGCCCGCTCCCTGAAGAGGACGGAAAAGACGAAGCCACTCGATCCCGGAAGTAGAGGGAGGCGCTTACAGTAGGTTGGAATCTGGGACTTCAAAAACACTTACTTTCAACGACCGATGGGCACTCCGACCCCATCAGGGAGGCCTAGCTTCAGGTCGGGTATGTCCCCCCACAGGCGGATCCTGGACGAAAAACTAAGAACAGTCAACACATGCTCCAAAGCCGTCAAAAAATCCAAACTCGTCCCCGGCCTATTTTTTAACTATTTTTGAGCATTCCCCCTGTAGAGGGACAGGCCCGACCTAAGCCAGGCCTCTCCCCCGAGGCCCACTTGCTTCCCGGCGAGCCTCGGCGGCCGCTGCTTCGAGGGCCTGCCGGTCGCGCCGAACTCCTGCAGCACCCGCACGACGTCCCCGGCGCGCGACTCCGTCGCGACCTGCAGCGGCGTGGAGCCGCACCTGAGAGGAGAGCGAGAGGAGGGGGGGAGGAAGAAGGAGGAGGAGGGGGGGGGGAGGAAGACGGAGGAGGAGGAGGAGAGGAGGAGGAGGAGGAGGAGGAGGGAGGAGGGGGAGGAGGAGGAGGAGGAGGAGGAGGAGGAGGAGGAGGAGGAGGAGGGAGGAGGAGGAGGAGGAGGAGGAGGAGGAGGAGGAAGGAGGAGGAGGAGGAGGAGGAGGAGGAGGAGGAGGGGAGGGAAGGAGGAGGAGGGGGGAGGAGGAGGGGCAGGGAGGAGGAGGACAGAGAGAGAGAGAGAGAAAGAGCGAGACCGACATTTTTGACGCCCGAAGTGTGTACGGGAAATGTGTATGACGCCCCACTACACGAGTGTTGTTTAAAACCGACAGCGGCCTCTGTTGGGCAGGCGGCCTTTCTGTCGCAGATGGACAACATCCGCGGTACCGACCACTGTCCACCGTACCAAATACAGCGGCATAAACTTTCGGAGGCCCGCGCAAATTTCTCAGATCGGCGCTGGGACGCCCTGGGGGCGCCTCCGACGCCGCGCCGTGGAGAGCGCGCCAGGGGAGAGGGGCAGTCTGGCGCCAGTCCAGGGAGCCCGGCGCGGACCTGCCAGAGCGCATGTTCACAGTCGAGTTCGACTGGATAGGACGAGGGAGAGAACACAAGATAAGACAAAGCCAGGAGGAGGATCAACTCGGGTGAGGGTAAATCGAGAATCTCTGAGATCCGGCGGCTCTGGAGGATGTCTCGGGCGACGCGGCCTTCTCAGAGCGTTCTGGAGCGCTCTGAGATTATTTTGGAACGTCTGAACGGATTTACCCTCGTACTCGCCCCGTCAACCAAGACCTCTCCGAGGACAACATTGCCAACATAATATAGAATGCATGGGCCGCGAAGCGCAGGACACAACGATACCGTTGACTTAGCAGGGTCGACCAACTAATTAACCAAGCTCGACAGTATACCCACATGTATATATATATATATATATATATACGTGTATATATATATATATATATATATATGTGTATAGACATGTTGATGCAACTTTTCGCTATCCGACTCGAGCACCCGCCCGCGTGGTCTGGGTCCGCGCCGGCCTCCAGCAGGGCGCGGGCCCCGGCTGGCAGGTTGTTGGACGCCATGCGGTGCAGTGGCGTCATGCCGTAGGTGTCCAGCGCCTCGATGTCGGCGCCTCGCTCGATGAGGAAGGCGGCGGCGTGCTGGTTGTCCCGGCCCATGCCGCACATGTGCAGCGGGCGCGCGCCCCCCGTGGAGACGTCGTCCACGAGGTCGGGGTACTTGTCCAGCAGAGGCCGGAGGGTCGCCTCGCCCTTCCGCAGCGCGTTGTTGATCGGGGTGTAGCCGCCCCCAGCATACACCGGCCCAGGCCGAGGATTGTGGTTCTGATACTGGCGGCCAATCACAACCTCGCCGGTGCCGGGGTCGCGCTTCACGATGCCACCTGGGCATCGTTTAACCGACCCCTATCCCCATGAACGTGGCCTGGGTCCCAATGGCCGATTGACCCTCTAGATGGGGATATAGGCCGTGCCCTTCGGGTTTCGAGGTGTGTGTCCCCAACTGGTGGATGGGGATGGGGACGGGGATGTGGATGGGGATGGGATGGGGATCGGTTAAAAGATACCGACCACCGTATATGCCAGGCCCGACGGTGTCCGCGTAGGGATCGAAGCCCTCGTTGTCGGTCTGGCCAGGGCGCCCGTACTTCTCGACCATGCCCGGCGCATACGGGTCATGAGTGATCCGTACGCCGTCCGCGCGGTAGTGGTCCTGCTTGCAGGAGGCCTCCAACTGTCGTGCTGCGCGTGGCCTGGCCAGCCGATCCTGGACCAGGATCAGTGTACAGAACACGCCCTCTTAGCCTCGCCACCACTGCTGGGCAGACTTTCCACCACAACTACCACATGTAGGACGGGGGAGAAGAGAGGATGAGAAGGTCCTCCTCCTTCTCCTCCTCCTCCTCCTCCTCTTCCTCCTCCTCCTCCTTCTCCTCCTTCTCCTCCTCCTCCTCCTCCTCTTCCTCCCTCTCCTGCAGGAGGATGGCAGGCAGCGGGGCATGTTTAGCAACTCGAGTCCCGACCCGTTCCAGCGATCTAGAGTGGATTTGGCGAGTACGCCCCGGCCCATGCTGCTGGAGGTCCCTGCGTGGAGGCCTCCCGAGGCCTGGCAGAAACTTCCAGAGCAGCTCCCAATCACCTTGCTCCTGGAGCCCCGATGCGAAGATGAGCCAAGGGGGGACGATGAGGGAGGACTGGGGCCTGTTTTCTGTTATTCGCGACTGCGGGCGAGATCGGGGGAGGGAGGGGGAGTTCGCCCCCCTCTGATCGCAACACGGCGGGGGGGCGCTGGAGATCTTAGGACATCCTCGAAGAATCCATGGGGCACCTCTGCACCTGTGGGCAGAAATAGCGTGACGTGATCCGGGGGGGGAGGGAGGGGGCCGATCACGGCCCCTAGCGCCCAGACCTTCAAACAAACAGGCTCCTGGCTCAGGGGGGAGGGGGGGAACACTGACTTGGACTCGGTGATGCAGTCAAACTCTATGAGAAGGACGGGCAGTCAGGACGCAGGGGCCTTGGACGCCGAAGTTGGCAACTTTCGGGCGGCGGGCTGCCTACGCCCTGAGGGGCTGACCAATGAAGACGGCGAAGGACGGGTTCGCAGAGGCAAGGACGCGAGGATACCCTGAGGACAGGCGTGCGCTCCTGCTATTAAGTGCTGATTGTACATCGCCGATAGCCAGCGATGGGCCCTCGATTCGGGGGCGCGCAAACATGAATGAGCGATCCACGGATTTGGCGCGCGGCCGCCAAATCCATGGATCGGGGGAGGCGCCCTCCCCAAAATGCAGCCGGTACCGCCTCGCTCGGCGGCGGAGATCCGCGATTTCCCGTGGAAACGGGACCCGTCGCTAATCCGCGCCCCCTTGATCCATGTCAGGGCTGGACCTGAACGCTGTTTTTCGTTCTGTCTTCGTTCTGTTGTCCGTTTTGCTCTACCTGTTCTCCTGCACCTTCCTGCCAAAAGGACAGACAAAACACAGCCGAAGCCCAACAGAACAGCGTTTAGGTCCAGCCCTGATCCTTGTTCGCGATCGCCTGATCGCTGCAACCCTGGCCCTGCAGGATCCCGCCGGAGATCCGGCGCTCTGGCCGACCTCCGCTGGCACCGGCCCCCGACATGGGCCAGGCCAGAGTCGAGGGCCGGGGGCGAGCTGGCGACCAAGGAAGTACACACAAATCCCAGGATTCCCGGATGTCTTCCCATATTTTCTGCGCTTCCGCCTTCCCCCCCCAATTCCAATAACTCCCCACATCTTCTCGGGAATCGACGATTCATTGTGTCTGTGTGTGTCTCTTTCCCTGCTGAACCACCTCAGCATGGGGGGAGCGGGTCCTGAGGGAAACGGGTCCTGGACCCCAGGCCCTTCCCCCGGGTCGAGCTCTGAATCCCGAGCCGTTCTCTAAAAATCCTGGGGCCCGACGGCAAAACACCTCAGGGCCCGCTTCCCTCAGGGCCTGCTTCCCCCATAGCAGCGGGGAAAGCAAACGTTACCGATACCGATCCTCCCCGGACCTCTGTCGAGGTGCGTTCTGACCAAGGTTTCGAAGCGAATCTAGCGGTGGCGACAAGGGAGGCCCAGGAGGCCGAAAAAGGGGAAAGCGGGCGAAGGGTAGAGGTATTCCAAATCCTTTATGAATCGACCTCCTCCTAAAAACCAGATCCCCCTGCAAATGCGACCAAATATTCCGGACCCCCCCCTGCGACGGAACGCCTTGATAAACCAGAGCTTCTAAGCTCCGATCCAAAAAAAACGCCCTAATAAACCGGACCCCCCCCATTTACCAAAAAGGCGCCTTTAAAAACCAGACCCGGGGGACGATTAATCCGAGATTTGGAATAGCGATACCGCTTCCTCCTCTGAGGCGACCCCTCCCACTTTGGCCTGCGGCATCGCCGGGGAACCCCTCGCCGTGAGCGGGCGGCCGAGCAGGCCCGCGAGGCCAACGGTGGGCCTGTGTTCCACCGCCACCACCACAAGCAGGAGGGGGATGGGGGTCCTCCTCCTTTTTTTCCTCCTCCTCATCCTCCACCTTCTTCCCCCCAGTTATGGTGGTGGTGAAGGAAAACAGGCCCATCAGCCAAGGAGGCGGGCCCTGCAGGCGGCCGTGGTGGCGGCGAGCGCAAGCGCCGCGGGCAGCGCCGCGGGCGAGGGGCCCCGGCTGCGCGGCGCCGCGCGCAGTCTGCGCAACATGCTCGAGCCGGAGGGCGGGGCACCACTCCTCCTCCTACTGCTCGTCCTCCCTCCCTCCCTCCGTCCGTCCCTCCCTCCTTCCCTCCCTGTATCCCTCCCTCCCTCCCTCCCTCCCTCCTCGACTTTTCCGTACCTAAGCCATACAACCACAGTTCAATATTAATCAACTCTATCTTTCCTTTCAACCATGTATGCGTGAATCCAGACCCTCACTCACTCACTCCTGACATTCAGAGTCCGCTTTCACCCCCTCATATCTAGAGCGTGGTGTCCACGGCCTTTAGGTTATGAAATCATTTCATTCGGCGATGTCGTATGTAGACAAAAACTCCATACTTAAAACGCCTTTGCATCCATATGCATTTGTTCTCCAAGGTTCCCATTGCCCCGTGAACATTTACCCGTGAGGGTCGCTGGTCTTCGAACTCCACCGCGTATACGTACGTATCCCGCCTTAACGTCGAGAGTCCATTTTCCGGTGGAAAGAAACTTCATGAACATCGGTGTCATCATATAACTTGCCAATTGGTCTGCCAACATAACTGTAGTAGGCAAATGGATGAAGTTCCTAATTCTCCGCATCAATCTGTTCTCCCTGCGATCAAGAATCCCAACTCGGTGGTGCTTACTGTTAGGAAGCAAGCTTGAAAGAAAAAACATCAACTCAAACAGGTTCATCGCGCTGGTGCATGCCCACTGGTATCAAGTGCTGAGACTCCGTATGTACTTCCAATAGATATCGTGCCGTCGGCTGTCGTTCAAATACTGGTAAGAAACCCAACTCTGTAATTCTTGATGCAATAGCCATTGCTGCGCGTGCAACCGATGGACTTGTCTCTGAGTGTAATGCCGACCATGAAGCTCGCCAGCTCGCCGTGCCTTGCGTGAGCTAACAGTAAGAGGGCATGCAATGCCTCCGAAAACCTTCGCGTCGTTGCCGAAGTACTGTTCCTGTATGCCGTGCCTGGGTGTAGATGATCGTGAACGAGCAATGCAACTCGCTTCTCTTGTGAATAAAGGCTCGTAGATGCAATGTCCCTGCCTGTCACTTGAGCAAGCCGCCGAAGAGGCCCAAGAACACGAAAAAGAAATCCATTCATCTCCGGGTTAGCAGTCGCATTCAGGGGTGCTGCATCGAGCTGCTTCACATGAATACCTCGGGGTTGCACAGCTTCCGTCTGAGAGTGTACTATCTCCTGACTGATATCGCACAGGGTCTTGGTGAGCCAAAGCGCACTCAACGTAGAAAACGAAAAGCATGATGGTTGATGTCGCACAACTCTGTCATGCCTGCTGCCTTTTCCATAAGCGTGATCGGTTTCAACGTCAAAAGGTATGGCTTCTGATGTAAGCAAGAGCGTCTCGGTCGCAGCCTCCCATGTACAATTCCACACCAGGCACAAGGTAGAACGCGATGCTTCATCGTGCCAAACTTGCTGTCAACCCGTTGTTGAACCCAATGCATCATAGCTTACATCACCACTGCGAGCAAATCATCGAACAATGGTACACACCGGTGCCGTATTTTTCTGCGCGTCGAACATGTAGAGGAAGTTGTCGTGGTGTAGAGACCTGTGCAACTTGAGTTCACTCGACGAGAAACGCAAGACAGCCATGTAGAATTTAGGCTGTCCATCAACGAGTCCATACATGGCCTTTGTCAGGCGGAGAACAAGCACACATTTCCCTATGTCCTCAACTGTAGCAGAGCTCAGCAAGCGTAAGTGCTGCCAAGAATTCGGTGGTTGCAGCCATGCTGTCCTGATCCAATTTGCAGTCGTGTCCGAGTGTTCTGGCTCGTTCTTTGTTTTCTCGGAATCGGAAGAAGCGCTGCGGATGCATCGAAGCCTTCGCAGTCCCCAGAGAAGTGAGCTCCAAGAGTCAGCGCCAAAAGATGTGATAGTGCCGATGCCGTGGGAAAGCCGAAGAACACCTTGCCGCTGGCTGCCCATGAAGCCCCGTCCGCACAGTCGCGATTCTGGTCCGCCGCGTGCGAACCCATGCCGCGTCGATCGCGCCATCGCTTTTATCGCCAGGTCGAGAGTGGCGACTTCGCGTGAGATAAAGGACTTGGTCTCTTCGCGGTCTCCTTTATCGACGAACTCCCAATACTTAATCACGCCCATATCCGCCAAGAAGTCCCCTTGCGCGACTGAGAAACATTCGTCTCCAAGAATAGCACGCCAGAAGCATGCGCCCTTCTGCCGCGGCCCTGGAAAAACAAGAGAAGACTCCGATGCTGCCCGGGCCGTTAATCCCGACGATGATGAGGTGAGCCAGCTCTGTGCGGTGCCAGCGCCCTCCGCTGTGGGCGCCGTGGCATCAAAATCATCGCAGGGAGGTGTCTCTGTGATGCTGTCAATCTCAGGAGCCCTGGTGTAGCGCTGATACCACGATGGAGGAACCACTGAGAAAAATCCTCGTAGTCTGGTAGTGAGTCTCCCATTGAGACATCTGGACA